AAATCACGACTATTAACGAAACACATGCGTTTTGTTAGCATCACCTTTTCTTTTGACACGATCATAAACGATAAATTTCTGTGCCTTCTTTATCATTATTATTAGTTTGTATGACCAGAGTATGAAATTTATTTTACTATATGTAAATATTTGTTAAGTTCCTTGATCAATAAGAAACCACATCATTTTTGAAACTATGTCACGAACAGGGGTGGGTTAATATAATTTTTTTCTTATTCTCTCTGCTTTTCTGTTTATAACCTATATGTAGTATTTGTATGATTATTGTTTCTCTCTGGCACAAAGTCGAAATAAAAACAAATCAATCAGTATCGATTGGTATCTGACTGACAATACTTTTGCCAACACTAATATAGAAAGTTATTAATTGTTTGTGCAATATCCTTTTTGCAGATTTTGTAGAGAAATTTTGCACTTGTATTTGCAGTTACTCTGGATGTAGAGAGACTGCCTCATGAACTTTAGCTGGTTTCCCATAGCAAAACAATCCCAAATCACTTTCAGCACCATGTGGTTTATGTGAAATGTGGTTCCATGAGAATAGTATTTTTCCCAACATCTGCCTCAGCCTTTGCGTCCTCCCTTTGTAAACAGCTGTGTGCCTGTTTAAATGTCTGGTCATGTTAATACTAATTAGATGCAGTCTGTTGTGACATTATGGCAGGAAGTCTCTCAGCAAGCCTCGAATACACAGCGGTGCCAGAGATTGCCTCCAAGCTTCGAAACATAGCAAGTGCAACAGATGAGGAGAAATGTATGTAAACAGGCTCTGGTTTTGATAAGGTGTTGAGAGTGTAGATTTTGGTTCAACTATCATAACATTATAACTTGTCAATAGTTTGTTCAATTGGTATTCTGTTATTGGTGACTTTTTGTGTAGTACGTTTATTAAAAGTACATTCTGTAACTTTTCTAGTTGAGGGTCCATCAAATGCTTTTCTTCATGGAGATGTTATTGCTTTGTCTGGAATGTTTCACAGTATGGTATTAAACCTTTCTATCTTCATGGAAACCAAACCAGACCAAGTTACAGGTCAGATCTATGGAGAGGCAACCACGCTCATAGTCAAAATCCTGTTTTTCTAGGTATTTTTGAGCAATAAAACCACCTGTAATTGAATAAATGTAAGGTAGAGCTGGGGAATATTCCAGGCAGAGAAATTACATATCTATAGAAACAAGCAGGTGATAGACCCTCCACATGAAAAGCTTTAAACTATCAAGAAAATCATAAATATGGCATTTTTGTGGAGTCATCCTAACAATTATAAACAAGTCCAACCTTGGATTTTCAGTTTGGTTATTTCTTTCAAAAGCTGTGAATTTCTAGAGTTACTATGGACTCCTGTCCTCTATTTGAAACTATGACATCAAATTCAAATAGGGCTACACAATAAATCAGAATTGCAATCTGAGTTTTAATTAGCAAACTTCAAAGGCTGCAATTATTTAGGTAATAGAATGTCCTCTGCAAAGAACAAATGATCCTGTTTTTAGAAAAATCTTATTGTACCTGTATTTTAGACCTCTACAAACAATCAAATGCTATTTGTTGAGAAAACTCCACATCTGCACAAAAGTTGCCAAAAAATTACTAGGAACAGTCGATAATGCGATTGAAACAACACAGTTTAGTAGCGAAAAAAGTGGAAGTAGTGCTGAGTTCCACTTTAATCATTCAGCAAATCTAATCGCAATCAGAAAAACTGCAATTTGAGTTTTTTGTTTTCAAACTCACACAGCCTTATTCTGAAATGTAGGGAACACAACCCAGGAAAGCTGCACCTGTACAATGTAATCAATGAGCCTATCTGAACTGGCCCCCCTCTGAGCCTATTTAATAATTCAAACTGGAGCATAGCCTGTGTGGGCATTTACCATGAAAGACAGAGTAAGACCCCAGAGCAGCAGCAGGTGGGACTCGGGAAGAGGTCACCATGGTCAAAAACAAAGATTATTTATGTTTTTGTTGCCATGGGTTACAGATCATTAAAGAAAATGCAGAGTTGTACTTTTTATATTGGCCGTATGGTGCTACTACAACACCTAATTCATTGATTTGTTTTCTGTATTGGTCAGAGCTGATTCTGTACAGAACTTACTAAAACATACTTTCAGTTTTCACACAAGGTACCTTAAATGTAATGAATAAATATGGCTACATCTTAAATTTGTAAACGGCTTGAATAGCATGCATATTTGGCTGCTGAACGATGTAGATGAGGCATTTAGGGTGCTACAAAAAATCAGGAAAATTGAAACTTGAAAATATATGCTGATTGCAATCAATCTGTTAAATTTGTGAGTTGTTTTTGTGGTAAGCAAAGGGGCTAAATTCTCCAGCTTTTAGTGATTATTGACCAAAATATGAATGCAAATATGAATGCAATATGTGGTTTTATTTATTTATTTATTTTATTTTCGATTGTGAAACTTGACTTGCAGATTTTTTTTTTTTCTTTGTTTAAAATATGATTACATTTGAATATAGATTAAAGTTGGTAGCGATGAAGGGAAAGAAGATGTTATTGCTTTGCCTGAAACGTTCCATGGTATGACATTAAACATATCCATTTAGCATTTATTCATTACACGTGTTTCTATTGCTCAAAAATGTGAATGGGGCGACTTTCCCCAGATCTAAATTGTAATGTAGCGTAGTGCTGGTTGTCTCCTTCGTGATAGATAGGCTTCATGTATATTGTGGAACATTCTAGACAAAGCAATAACATTTCCATGGAGATAAGCAGGTGAATAATGTTACACAGTGCACCTTTAAAGCTGTTCACTCTTCTAATGTCTTGGTCCTGGTTTAGTCCTGATCAGGGGCGGCCCTAGGCACAGGATGCTTGAAAAAACAAAACAACAAAAAGTGCCCCCTCCGGGTTGTTGTTATTGTTGTCGTTGTTGTTGTTGTTGTTGTTGTTTTTTTGATGGGGAAGAAGGAATTTTTTTGGTCCCAGGGGGTCATGCCAGGAGATGGTCTCTCCCGGGGAGTAAATCAGTATAGGACCGCTAAAGGTCCTGATGACTTGACTTGGTCCTCTTCTAGTTTAGTCTGATTGCATCTTAAGAGTCCATTTAGTTCCTTTACATACAGATAGACAGACAAATAGACACAGTTAAAGAAAGAAAGAAAGAAAGATAGATCGATTGATCGCTCGATCTCTCCATACTGAGTGATGGTAAGCTACTATTGTAGCCACAGCTGTCCTGGGGCAGACTGACGGAAGCATGGCTGCCATGCCAATCCGTGCCATTGGTCCCTCTGACCACCACCATCACTCATGTACACACCACTTTCATACTAGGCAATGTGGGAGAAATGCCTTGACCAAGGACACAACGACAGTTTTTTGACTGGCGCCCCCCTGTGACACCGGATTTTCCCAGTGGTCTTCCATCCAAGTACTAACCAGGCCTTGCTTGGCTTCAGAGATCTGATGGGATCAGGCTTTGACAAACTGGTATGGCCACAGATAGATAGATACAAATATTCTGTTTTTGTTTGCTTTCTGTATGCTATTTTTATGCTTTTTGTATTGTTCATTGCTGTTTGTACAGCACTTTGTAAACCTTGTTTTTAAAAGTGCTTTATAAATAAATATGTATTATTATTATAATTATAGAGATATAGATAGAGACAGACAGGCAAACAGACAGACGGACGGACAGACAGATAGATAGATAGATAGATAGATAGATAGATAATAGATGGATGCATATTAGCGAATAATGGCATTTTCTTCATGAACAGACCCCTCTCTTCCAGACACAGGTGGAGGTAGTGATACATTTCTTGTGGGTTCATTAGCCGTGGCCCTGTGCGTGTGCTGCTCCGGGCTGACACTTAGAGATGGAGAGCAGTGCACTCTGGTTAATTACACCTGTGTTTGAACAGGCTGGGTGAGCGAGGCCCTTCGGATAGACCTGCTGCCAGATATCCAAATATTGGATTTTATTAATTTAATCAAAAGTGGAGTAAAGATTCAGACAGTTTTTGATAAGGGTGTGAAAGTGATTGTAATGGAAAGATGTCAGTATTTTTGTGTACTTGTTTAGTTTTGTTTACATGAAAAAAGCCAATGGATTGTGCTATTAGTAAATATGATAGCAGCACGTATAGACTATATTGCTACAAGTTTGTGAAATAAACTTTAGGGGCACTGGTCTGTGAAACAACATCACAAACAATGGGGTATTGTGTGCGCTGTTAGCTAATGAAGAGAGCACATTAGCAAGTCATTAAATATTTAGCCTCAGATACACTTGGGCAAATCTGCATTTTATAAGACGTTGGTCAATGAAAAGAGAAGAAGTTTATATGTCAATGATGTAAACCATTTCACACTATAGCAAAACCAGTCTCCAGTCTGGGTATGCTTCTGTTGTAGGGATTATTATACCTTTGATCTTATGGACTGAGCCGGCAGTAAGTGCAAGGATAAGATAAGGATTTTTTTTTTCATTTTCAACTATAAATTAAAATTTGTAACTTTTTTTAAAGCTATTGTTTTGGTGTGTACCCCACCTCAAGCCAAAGCTGCCGATATCCACTCCCCGTTTTAAATGTGCACATAATATGCTTCACTTCACTTTGACATTCTGCAAGTCACCCAACTATTTTGAAGATACTCTGTCCAGGGAAAAAAACACCATTATCATGAATCTGATATGTCCATCAAACTTGCTACAAAAACAAGTGCATTTAATAAAAGCGCTTGTACCGAGGGACTAAACCAACTGTCTATATTAACTTAAAAATAAATCTGATACATTAAAACGCACCAGACAGAATCATTGTTACTTAGTTGACAGCTACAATAACAAGAGACAGTGAATCATTTTGGCTCTAAACTAATGTTGTCCAGCGCTACAGAGCACATTAATCCAATATAGGACAGAATTAATTTGTCATGTCAACAGAACTGGGATGTAATTGCATTTGTTAATACTGCAGTTGTGTGTGTGTGTTACAGATTGAGATGTCTGGTGAAGCAGCTGGAGAGAGGAGAGGCCTCACTCACGGACCTGAAGAAGAACCTAGAGTATGCTGCCACTGTACTGGAGTCAGTCTACATCGAGGAAACAAGGTACAAAATATAATGGGGTTTGTATTGAGCAACAGCGCAAACTTCTCACACATAAGACATCAGAAAAGGTTGGGTTATCAAGCTAAAATGGGTCTGTCTCTAACAAACTAAGACAACTTACAACAGATCTAAACTGAGGATCATCTGTAAATAGTAACAACATGGGGTGGAGAAGCCCAAATTATTCAAAGATATCACTCAGGTAAAACTTAAAGGTCCTATATTACATGAAATTTACTTTTTAATTTACCCTCCTCTAAAACATGAATTCGTGCACATTTTTCTAGTGAAGGTGTATGGGGTTTAAAAACACAGTGGAGCACTTTCTGTATTTCCACATGACATCACAATTTGGAACAGAGTGTTTTTAGTTTAAGTTTAAGAGAAGAGCTCAGGCCAAATATGCAGGATCTGTGTGCTTAGAAACACAACTTCAGGTATGTTTGTGATGAGCAAACAACATTAAAAGACTGATCAGAAAATAGCATAATATGGGCATTTGCAATCAGCATCAAATAGATTATTATTATTATTTTTTTTTTACTGGTTTAGAAGTTTGGACCTAAAGTCTATTTCATACAACTTATTTTCTCCTTAAATTAGCCGTATTTGTCTAAGCCTTGTTCAAGATTAATCTATACTCTTTATAACTAAATATTTGATCCCACACAGTAAGATATATCTCCTTTTATGAGGAAAATTAAACATCCCCGGCTGTTCACACTTGGTCTGCATTTAGTCCTGGTTTGAACCCAGTTAAATCCTGGTTTAGTTCTGGTCTAGTCCAGAATTAGCACCAGGTTTAGTCTTGGATTTGTCCAAATTTGGATGTGGTTGTAGTCTACCTGGTTTAATACTGAATAGGGATGTAAACAATAATCAAAATTTTGTGATATTGTATCGTCAAAAGCCAATAATAACAATAATACCGTGGGCCATCACAATATATTGATCACATGTATCTTTGCTCAAATTTGAATGAATGAATGCATGTTTATTCTGACAGTAATGCCTACAACATGCATAGAAAACATATTTATAGTTATAGTGCAGCAATATAACTAAAAAAAACATAAAAAAAAAAACACATGGAACTCATAGACATGATCATTTGTTCATGTCCATGCAGATTACATGAAGAAATATTTCTTCTAATTAGAAATAATTCTTCGGATTATGACAAAGCCAAAGTCTTGTCAAGGCATTTTAGGAGGAAAAAGTAGCATATTCACAATTCTGTTAGCCTCCACAAAATATTACATTAAATATCGTCTTGAGAGATTTGGACATTGTTACATCCCTAATACTCAATAATTTGGAATGATTTGATTTGTCATTGTTACAGTCTAGACATTTTTTGACTCTATTACTTAGGAGGCTAATTATCTTCTGAGAACTTTGTGTGAAAAGTTTGTGATCTGCTGTTTTAGATTAGATTGATTAGAATAGTTATTATAACATTACAGTGGCATTAATATCAAATGTATTTCTAATTTTATGGGAACAGTGTCCTCTTACCATCCTGCCGCACATTATGTGAAAGGTAAATCCTGTTTTGAGGCTAGATTAAGTGGCTCTGCGGAGGCTGAAGTTAACAATAATGAGATAAAAATATAAAAGTTTATATTTTATCTATCTTCTTTCTTGTTTGACTCTTTGTGGTTGAATTTAGACAGGCCCTCCTATTACTTCTATTAAATTGGTTTTCCTGATGTAGTCTTTAAAAGACTGAGTAGTTTAGCATTGTGTGGTGTGTGGTAAACTTCTTTAGTGATGGTGCATTCATGGTTCTCTCATAGACTCCGGACATTTTTGGAATTGTCAATATCACATTTTAACTAGAGCCAAAAATGGACTTGTGCCCATGGTAAGGACAAAATGACAAAATAACCAATAAGCAATCGATAGTTACTTCATGATCGCATTTGAACCTGTCTTTTAAAAGTAAAATGTATTTGTAGGAACGATTTCCTGTTCTGAATACAGAGGCTATTCGAGGACCACATGAATGCAACGTGATTTAGCTGTGTGTTTTGTACTGGAGAAGAAGAATTTCATCAGATTGTTAGATACTGTTTATAATATCTTATATAATAAGTGGACCCCGACCAACACTTATTTTATAACTTCTGACCCTGCTCCAATTGAGTCTGAGACCTCTGGACTCGAGGGAAACTTTCTCCCTAAATTCTAAATATTATTATGTGCATTTGGAATTATGTATGTAAACACTAAACACACTCAACTCTTTAGAATTCATCACCAATGACATCAAAATGAAGTGGCATCAATTGCCAAAATGTAGTTATTTTAAATCCAATGATAGAATAAGCAACTGACAAATCACTAATAGAATAAAAACAGAAAAACATAGCAATATATACTTATATAATAATATATATGATGTATTATGTAATATGTATATTACATACAACATTCAATACAATACAATACATTTCCACCTGGTACAATGCATCTCTCCTGTTAAAGTTAATGTCAAAATTGTGCACTGTCCCTGTCTCGTTTTTTATGCAGAAATGGGTAAAGTGAATGTACAAAAGAAATAAAAAGAGTAAAATGGGAATGTGAATGTTCACAAATTTGAGTTTTTTTGATGCGTAGATGCGAAAAATTGATTTTATTCACAATTTTCTTATTGCGTAGTCCTTCAACCCAGTTTGGTCTTAGTTGAAGTTTTAATTTTGCTTAACTTGTCGTGTCAAAATGTAAATACTGATATGATAAAGTTTGTGATACACCATATAGTTATCAAATATCTTTATTTCATATCATGCGGTCCTTATTAAATGTATCAGACTACACATTACATTCATGTTTACTCTATGTGAGGCTGCATGATAGTTTGGTGGTCATAGTATATACACATTCAAAAGTGCATTTTATCAAAACCTGTTGGTATATTGTCTCTAGAAAGATTATCCAATTGATTACTTTTTGACAAACTTATTTTTGTTATTATATATTTATTATTCTGAGATTTTAAAGATATTTTTGTATATAATGTCAGTTGATATAGAAAAATATATAAAAAAAAAAAAATATATATATATATATATATATATATATATATATATATATATATATATATATATATATATATATATATATATATATATACAAAGAATTACATAAAATAAATAATAAATAAATTGTAATAAAATAAACATTAAAATAAAATTAAATAAAAATACATTTAACCAAAATTGCTAATATTTTATAGGCTCTGGGAGGAAGATGCTTTCAATATTGTATTCATTATCCATCATCAGGCCTAGTACTGGGGGAAAAAAGCGATAAGTACAAAATTGCCTATCTGGAATAATAACTTAAAAGTTTCAAATAAGATCTAAAAAAATCCTAAAATGTAAAACAGCACATGTTCTCTTTGTTGTATCCTCGGAAACCTTTAACTACATGGGCACTCAAATATATATTTTTACAGACCACAGCTCCAATACAAATCCAAAATTCCAAGCTACAGCCACCGCGAGGCTTATGGCATTATGTAACCCATCCATCATCTAGATTCAGTGAGATTAGAGCCAGCAGCAGCAGCAGCAGCCGAGCCCTGTACCGGACACTGAAGGACTAAAGCCTGGTTCATGTCATATTGTGATTATTGAGATTATGATGGAGATAGGAGCACTTTGACTGGCCCGTAGGAGCGCATTGGCAGCTCAGATAGTAGCTTTTCCCCTGATCCCTCAAACATGTCAACAGGACACTGAAGCCAAGCTCACAATTGGATTTGAATAGGACACAGCCATTACGTAACAGGTGATATTATTTGATGGACAGAGCCGGGATTTCACTTAACCTCCTTAAGAGCATATCTGTGAACAATGGTGCATATTTTAGCACTAGATGGAGCTGCCTCAGTTGCTTTTGTTTCCTGGCTTCTCAATAATAAGATTATTATTTATTTATTTATAATGATAAAACTGGAGAAACATTTATCTTCAATCTGTGACAGTACAGCAAAGAAATAAGCAAAGTTCCAGTAGTCCACTTTATTATAGTACGTATACTGTACATTTAATATTGGACCATAACAAAAACCCTGCTATAAATGCTTAAAATCATTGAACAGGCAAATTAACTGCAAAATTTAGAGATACAATATGTTAAAGTATAGGGATAAGAAAAGGAGAGAAGAGTGCATCAGCAATAGTTTAAAATATTGCATTTAACGACAACAAAACGCAGAATTCAGAAAACTGTTAATCGTCTGGATAACTAAACAGGAATTAAAACTACAGAATATATGGCAGTTCATACTACGATTGTGTTTTGGATCAGAAATGGCTTTCACAATTATAATTATTGTTCAAATCAATAACAAAAATGTTGGATAAATATAAAATAAAATCCAGTTCTCAAAAAGACCATTGTGTGATCTACAGTGACTTTTAAAACTTATATCACCAAACATGACAAATTATAGTAAATGAATAAGATTGAATTCCTCCACAGATTAAAGGTTAAACTTTTCCAGTACAAGTTCAGCACATGGTTGTGTCCATGGAGATATGCTAGGAAGATTGCTTTCCCTGAAATATACCACAGTATGGCATTAAGCTTTTTTTTTTTAAATAAAATAATACCTTAAAAAATATTCATTCTATTGTAAAGAGCCCCACCTTTCCATACATCTGACATGTAAATTGACGTCCATGGAAATAGATACGTTTAATATCATACTGTGAAAAATTCCTGGCAAAACCACATCTCCATGGTGACTGACCCTCCACCTGTAAAGTTACACAGGGCACCTTTAACTTAAGAGATTACACAAATTTCAAATAGTTATCATTTCAATTAAGTCTTGAGTAGTATTTTTCATAGTTATGCAGCTTTAATCACCTACTTTTTAACTAAACTGCAATGAGAGAAATCCTGTGTAATCCATCTTAATCTCAATGTCTATGTTTTTGCGTCTTGGCTGATCTAACCTGTGTATTTGTCGTTGTTTGCAGGCGTTTGGTGGACACAGAGGATGAGCTCAGTGATATCCAGTCAGAGTCAGTCCCTTCGGAGGTGCGGGACTGGCTTGCTTCCACCTTCACACGACAGATGGGGCTGATGCTGAGAAGAAATGAGGAAAAACCCAGATTCCGAAGCATCGTCCACGCTGTACAGGCCGGCATCTTCGTGGAGAGGTAGAGTAAACAGCGATAGGGCTCATCACAGCAGACTACACTACAGACAAATCCAGATGTTCAATTATTTAAACAGACCACCAGCCTTTTCTCTGCTCTGATGTTTGAGATCAGAAGGGCTGTCTGAACCAGTGAGGCCACAGATTTATAAATCAAAGACAATAGACAATAGAGCAAAAGAGTACTACAACTACTCCTGGATCGAAAGGGATAGTGATACAAACAGAAATTATTAATTAAAAGCAACAGGCTAAACTGGAATTTTTATCATCAGAGAAATACAAAATTGCTGAATCACTTAAATATAGAAATACTGTATTTTTCGGACTATAAGTCGCTCTGGGGTATATGTTGCACCAGCCAAAAAATGCATAATGAAGAAGAAAAAAACATATATAAGTTGCACCAGACTATAAGTCGCACTTCTGGGGGGAAATTTGTTTTATAAAATCAAAGACCAAGAACAGACATTTCATTTTTAAAGGCAAGTTCTAGTAATAACAATAGAATAGAGAACAACAGGCTGCATCAGTGTATGGTATGTTAATGTAACATGAACAGTTATAGTATATAGATAACTATAGCATAAACAACAGAAATAGGTGTACCAAACTCTTAGTCTCACTCCAAATCACTAAATCCATTGAATTCTTCATCCTCGGTGTCACTTCTGAGCAACTCCGCAGCCTCCGGATGTAAATGGACTGACACTTCCTCTTCTGTGTAGCTGTCGTCAGACTCAGCATCAGTTCCACTTAGAATTATTCCGGATTATTTCTGAATCCCAACAGGATGTTTTCAGTTGCCATTGAAGTCCAGGCTTTGGCGATCCATCCAGTGACTTCCTGGAAAGTTGTATGGTGCACCCTCCTGGTGTCACAAGTTTCTCGCTCATTCTAAACTTTCTTTCTGCTGCGTGATTACCGTTTTTGGCTGCATATTTCACTACTTGCAGCAGGACAGTGGCTCTTTCTGCAAGAGACATACGCAGTAGGGTGTGCAGTGACAGCGTTACATGGTGGTACAGGAGTAAAAGGAGTAGCAGATACTGGCACACAAGCCTAGAGTGCCCTCTCGTGGCTATCAGTGTGAAAATTTTAATATATAAGTCACACCGAAGTATAAGTCGCAAGACCACCCAAACCATGAAAAAAAGTGTCACTTATAGTCTGAAAAATACAATACTATAGCTGTATACTCACTGGTCGTAAACTATTACTGTAGCCATAGTTACCCTGACTCATGTAGGTGAGGCTGTTAATCTGCAGCATTGGCCCTTCTGACTACCACTAATCACCACACACAGCACGTTCATACTAGGCAGGGTGAGAGAAATGTCTTGCTTAAGAACCCAACGGTAATAGGCAGCGGTCTCTCTCAGCGGTCATCCAGATTTGAATTTGAATCATTTGTATTGCTGACAGTTTATTCACAATGAAACGCCATCAGTAGCCTCTCACTCCCAACACAAAACATGCATTCAATTCAGTGTCAGACATGTAAGCTATAATCTGTCTTAATCGGTTCTGACACAGGGTCGTATTCTGAGATTTACAATGAAAAAGATTAGGATATAGTGGGAAAAAAGGGTCTAAATATGTTATACACTATCAATGGAGAGGTTCTGGGGGGAAAAAAAAAATCTAAAGTAAATTTGAAAAGGAATAAAGTGAAATTTTAAAGAGCCCTCTGCTCTATCAAAACGCTGTAGTTGGTCATATAGAAAATCAATTGTTGTCATACCACTACATTTTAAAACCAAAAAAAAAAAAAAAGATTAATTCTGACTGAATCTTCAATGCAATTTTTATCACAATATTTTATCTCTGACCTAGACATTTTTCATTCAGGAAAGCTCCAGTTTATGTTCTCTAGTATATTTATGTGAATGAGTATCTAGTTTTGATACTGATTTTGGTTTGAATTAGTATGAGTATATTATTGTTTATCCCAATATGAAATCCAAGCTCAACATTTTCATTCATGCTTCCTCAAACCAATGGTAGTTTAGCTTCTCCCACTGAGGTTATAGAGTCAGTTTACACTACTATTTCTTCAAATATTTTCTTTTTGAGAGAATCCAGATGTACAGTATTGATTGTTTGGCCCATTTCAGGTCATGACCTCTTTGTATTTGATGTTTTATCTTTTCTCAACAGAATGTACAGACGGACCTCCAACATGGTGGGCCTTAGCTACCCCCCAACCGTGATATCTGTGCTAAAGGTACTCGCACACACATACACACACACACACACACACACACACACCTGTAAGACATCCACTGGTCATTTTAATAGGTACTCTTCAAATGTTTAAATCCATATATCTAATCGACAAATCACATGGCATTTACAGACGTGTTGAAGCTGAGATATTTGAAGTTTAGGCTGTGGTGGAGAGATTTTAAAATAAACTCTTTTAGGTTTAAGTACAGTTATATTGATATCTGCTGATCTAGTAAAGAAGCGGCAATCTCAGCAATCTCTTAAAAGGAAGATAAATGTACGTGTATCAGTGCTCTTAAATAGAATTTATTTCAATAAAAAACAGATAGTGTGCTGCCATCCAGTTTCCATAGAGATGTTATTTCTTTGCCTAATCTCCCACAGTATGGCATTAAACTATCTACGTGTAAAAAAGCCACTGTTGCCCACTCCCATTTTCTTTACTTACTTTCTTTATTTTATTTTATTCTTTACAATGCAAATTCCTGTAATTTAATAAATACAGGACAGATAAGTTGAGTGGCTTTCTGTGGAACAGGCAAAGCTGTGAGATCTCCATGGAGTTTGCATTAACATAATAATAATAATGATAATAATAATAATAATAATAATGACATGATAAAAATGATACAGTTCCATTCTTGACTTCATCATTTCATTTTGTTGCTTTGGATGATACCAGAGTGTGGGTATGGGAGGGAAGAAAACTAAAATATTACAAAATAAATGCATAACCATGAAATAAATGATCTATTCTTTCTTTTCAAAATGGTTGTCACATTTTGAACCTTTTCCCCTCAGAATGTCGACAAATGGTCATTTGACGTGTTTGCCCTAAATGAAGCCAGCGGGGAGCACGCACTCAAATTTATATTCTACGAACTGCTCACAAGATATGATCTCATCAGCCGCTTCAAGGTGAGGATAAGAAACAACAAGCACAGGTCTGGGCCTTTTGAAAGTGCCATTCCATGTAGCCGGAGGGCTTTTGTAGTGCCTAAGGACACATTTAAGAACAAAGAAATGACAAGAATAAGGTATTATAACTCTACAACTGTTGTTCAAGTTTTAGATTGTTTGTTAAAGTACAATAATACAAAAATATTAAACTAAATATGTTAAAGATAAATATTTTAAGTGCATGTGGTCTATTATTTTCAACCACCGAATTGCTATATAGGCTCTTGGTCAACTGGTTTGATAACTCCCTATCTACAGGATCCTCATGAAACAGATAATAGAGATTATTGAAACAGTTACTGGTTGTTTTATTACTTAAATCTTGCCTGTTCAATTCCAGCTAGACAGGGCATACTGTTGTTGTATCCTTGGGCAAGACACTACACCCACCTTGCATAAGTATGAATGTGGTCTGTAAATGAGTGAATGGTGGTTGAAAACAACATTAGTGCAGATTGAATGCCACGAAAAGGCATCCTTTAGTGTCCAAAAGTATTTCTCCACTGTGAGACAAGTAACGGTTTGTCTTATCTTATCTCATCTCATCTTATCTGTTTTTCAATTTTTTCTTCTCCCCTTCCATAGATCCCAATCTCTGCAGTAGTGTCCTTCGTTGAGGCATTGGAGGTCGGCTACAGTAAACACAAAAACCCATACCACAACCTGATGCACGCGGCCGATGTAACGCAGACTGTGCACTACCTGCTGCTCAAGACGGGCATGGTGGTAAGTACAGCTAAGTACCCTTTCATATTTTTCAGTACATGTAATTATGTGTTTTTTGTACTTGAACAATGCTTTTTGGTACCAACTCAATAAAAAAAAGAATAAAATCTTCATAGATTCCACTCTGAGTAACACTACATAATAACTTTCTATATGGTAAGTCCATGAGCCACCAGGCCAGTTATTCTCAAAAGAAATACAAAATGTCACGACCAGTTTTCTCCATAATTCCTTTTTTCATTATTAGTACTACTTTAAACTGTGTGCCATGTCTCTATGAAGATTACTTACTTACTTCTTTTCTTGAAACATAGCATTAAACTAATCTAGCTCCATGGAGACAGCAGGTAACAAGAAACCAATTTACAGGTCAGGTCTGTGGTGATGCGAGCCCACTATATGCAAGATTTTCAAGGCGATAAAAACGCTTGTGCTTGAATAAATGCCACCAAGATAAGTTTTATGCCATACACTGTAACATTCCAAGGCAATTCAATAACATCTCCACTAACCTCATACTAGAAAAACTCCACAGTGCAACTTTAATCTTTTTTCCTGTATACCGTAGTACCAGTCGTGGTGGTAAGTACCAACAAAGAAGTATTTTATCACTAAAAGCCTGTGATGAGAGGGAGGCATTTTGTCAACATGCTTTTCTGAAACGTCTTCGTCAGAGTCCCTAATTGCAGCTTTGTTCAACATGCAGCTCCTCCAAAAATAACCCTTTTTATCACGAGAAACCTAACTGCCATTCCCTTCACATGGAGGAAGATACAGAGATGTGATGACAATTACCCATGAATCTTAATTACACAGTTCGACTCTCAGAACTATTCCTGGAAATCTCTCAGCACTTTAGTCATCATCATTGCTACTTTGTTTTTGTCAATATTTCACATAGCTTTTAAACCTCATTTCCTTTATCTTCTGACCTGTAATGTTGTTAAAAATCTTGTAAGAATAAGTTTTAACCATTTAACTGTGTTTGTTAAGCTTTCTCTCCGCGGTTTAGTCATCATCATTGCTACTTTGTTTGTGTCATTATTTTACATGGATTTTCAATTCTGTCCCCTGAGCCATGATGTTTAAAGGGCCCATATTATGCTTTTTTTCTTATCTATGTTATAATGTTGTTTCCTCAACAAAATCATTAATTCACACATGTTAAAACACATGTTAAACACACAGATCCTGCATATTTAGTTTCGTTCTTCTCAAACAGAAAACACTCCTTGTGATGTCATGTGGTAATACTGAAGTTCTCCACTGTGTTTTCAAAATCTATACACACTCACCAGAATCATTGGGATCATTTTTAACCCTGGAATTTCCAATCTGTACTAAGCAAAAGGTAAAAGTTATCTGTTAACTTGAAAACGACTGCTGTGTGAATGAAACAAAACACAACTCCAGGTATGTTTTTGATGAGGTAATGACATTATAACATGGAATAAATCTCACAAAGTCAATTCTGTGTGATATAGAACCTTTAAAAAATAAAAACTCATAAGAACTATTTTAAAACCGATTTAAATATGCTAGTTAAACCTGTTGGTATGCCACTAATGAGCATGATACGGTACAAGAAGCCTCAAAAACTTTGTGCATCCTAATTACAATTTATCAAACGGATGCAGGGAAGTGTAACCAAGATGTTTTTAATAACTCATTATATAACGACGAGACTGGAAATATTTATGTAAAGTATCGCTGTAGTCCAGACTGTGTAGAGATGAAATGATTCATGGACCCAGGTGCAAAATTACTCTTTGTTACTTTTGAAACTTAAAGGTTGTATGGACGATTTTTTTTGTTTCAAATTGTCAATGATAGCATTATAGAGGTGCAGTAGCCTTGTAATTTTGATGACCAAAAACAAGAGAATAAAAATTAATCAACTCTGGACGTGGTGGGGCTAGTTAAACATTTGCCAATAGATAACGACACTCCTCGTTATCTGTTAGCTGATAGGCTGTCAATCAATCTCCCTACGTTTGTAGCGTAACTGACTTGCCTGCGCGCTGCCGGTACGTGGTTTACGTACGCCTGTCACGCAGTCCACAGACACAAGACGCACAGACGCTGTTTACTCCACCAACGCAACAGTTCTTAGCGGCTTTTTTTGACCTATATCTTCCTCGCAGTTCGCACAAAGTTTGTTGCAATGGCAGACAAGAATCCAGGAGCAGTTAGCCGCAAAAGAATGTCAGTTTTTGAGGTCGCTGAAAGAAGAAGACAAGGGGAAAAGCAGCGAAACCAAACTAAGGTGATTCTTGAAGATTCATTCCAGCGATGGCGCAACTGAAGCAGACGAAGGGTCTAAAGACTGACGCACTGGTCGCCAAATTACTCCTGGACAGGAAACTTCTGCTTATTATGAAAACGTACTTTATTTCCAAGAGTTAGACAAACGTTTTTCAGGACACGAATGTGATATCCTCTGTCTGAAAACGTAATTTTCAAGGCAAAGAAAGAGTCCGCTTGCTGCTGCGTGTTGTAGCTAGTTCATTCGCACGGAATCTCCGCGCACTCTTCTCTGCTCCCCTTTCCTGCTCCTCTCCCCGCTGCCCGTTCCGCTCTTCCCCCTGCTCCTCACTTCTCCGGGCACGGAATCTCCGCGCACCGCTCCCTCTCCTCTCTCTCTCTCTCTCCTCTCTCCCTGCTCCCTGCTCCGCTCTTCCCCCTGCTCCTCACTTCTTGTCCGCGAACGAAATGTCCGCACACCCGCTCCCCCCGCTCCTCACTTCTCCACCTTGCCTAACCAACACTGTAGTTAGTTGTTTACAAGTCATGTGCAGCACCGGCTGTAAACAAACCTGTTTCTGGCGTAAGGAGGAGGCGGGAGGAGGCGTTTCTACGTAGGGAGCTGTGGGGGGGGGGGTGGTTTCACGCATGCGCAACATTTGAAAAAGGACAAACAGTCGCTGGATTTCTCGTTCCTTGGAAAATCCTCTATACAACCTTTAAATTTAAAATGTATAATTCCCTATCAGACATATCAAAATGTGCTTTCAGTAATTAGTTCATTATTTTTCCTTCCGCTGTCAAATTCATTATCGTGACCAGACTGTCACGGCAGGGCAACAAATCAACACTGTCTTATTCATACCATTAGTGATAGAGGGAATTAACCCATCAAGCTCCACGTTGTCTAATGGAATGATTTCTGCAAAAATCTATACAGACATTCTGTAGCACAAGCATTTAGACCTTCCAACAAGAAGGTCACGGGTTAAATTCCTAGATTTAGAGATGGGTCCATAGGTGCTGCACTGCGGTGTCCCACTGCTCCTTCTGCTAGACATTGAAGGATGGATCTAAAGCAAAGGACAAACATATGGAGACAATAAAGTGTACGCCAAATAAAGTGTATGCAGATCACACTCCCTGTAGGTGGACAATATTGACAAAAATGTATATATACAGTATATTGTTTTATTTTTTATTGTTTTGCATTATCTCTTGAATTATAGTTTAACAATGCATCAGAAATGTGGTAAAATGTGTTTGTAATTATCTGGGATGAGGTTCAAGTATCACAAAATACATAAACAGACCATGCAATTAACCAGAAAAGTGAAGAAATATCACTTTACACTTTTTAGATTACACTATTTTAGTTTGTTTCTCTTTTTTTTCTGTTTTAACTATAGAAATTATAATCAGTATTCTAATTTTGCATGTCCTTAAAATAACATTCACTCCCTAATTTTTCTTGATGACATTGGTAAGGTGATAATGATAGCTCTATAGACACATACAGTGACTACTTCCTCAGAGATGTAGCACATTATACAGCGGAGTCCTGTGAGAGTACTGCATCAACCTCCTCTCTGCTCCACACTCCATTAAATCAACCATCAACCAGTCATTCACAACAGGAGCAGAGACAGGGCAACCCCATCATCTATGTCGCCCCAAGGTCATAAAAGTCTTATACATCATGGCACAGTATATAATATTGTTGTTTTATTTATTTTTAGCTGCAACTCTATATTTGCCAAGTGCAGGAGGCAGACCATGTTCAAGAGATCATATAGGATCAGATGATATAGTTGTTGTTTGTCCTCTGATCGGAACGGTTGTGGATTGATTGCTAAAATAACATTGCGTATTACCATTGTTTTTTAGCAAGACATTTACTTACTTGATCTGTCTGAATGTGTGAGTTTGACAGTGTATGGTCAGCAGTGGATGAAAAATGTCACTGCAATTGATGCAAAAATTATCTACTAGTAGAATAAAATGAACATAATAATTACAAAATTGTTTGAAACAACTCACATAAGATCTAATTATTGGACTGATTACAATATTGACTAAGCTAGTAGATTACTGAATTACTTCAAATTATCCATTAGAAAAATGACTGATTTTGTATTAGTTGCCTTTTGATCAAATAACATCAAGTTATATCTGAACTTAATGCTGAGTGATATCAAAAATGTATATATCATTTTCCCCTGGAAAACTCTGTCCTCTCTCTCTCTTTTGTCTGTCTCTGTCTTTGTCTTTGTCTTTGTCTTTTCTCTGTCTCTGTCTCTGTCTCTGTCTCCCTCACTTTTCCTCTAATGATGTCCACCCACCCCCCATTGTTGATTAGTCACCAATATCGAGCAAGCCTAATCCATCTGTGCCTGTGGTGGTGTGCAGCGCTGAGGGAATACAGGTGTTTCTGCACAAATGGCTTTTCAAAGCCAAAGACTTCTATGACACAGGCTCAGAAGGTTGAGTGGGAGGTCCAATCTCCACAAGAGCCCAGCCAATGTTCTTTTTCATATCAAGGCTTCCCAAAACATCAGCTGTGCTGCTAGAAAAGGGCTACGTTTGTCTTGAATGACCTTGTATTTGAGCACACACCAAATATATCTAACATTTGTTCACTTTTAGAGGTGACACAGAAAGTACACTGGCACTACAATGTATTTTATCATATAATTAGTTTACTAATTCCATTGTGGATGTTTTGAGTGTTTGAGTTTTGGGGATTGCCTGGAAGAATCCAACCTAGACATGGTAAGAAACATGCAAACTCCACACAGAAAAGCCCGGGCAGTCCTTCTTGCTGTGAGGCAAGAGTGTGAGCCACTCAGGCACTGTGCCACCATTTTGTCCTCTTGCTGGAGGAATGCCAGTAACACACAAATGATCGTACTGCATTGCTACAATCAGTGCATTCATCCACAAACTCAACTTTTAATGGTTAATTGGATCCCATTTCCAATTTGTTTAGTTGTGTCTTTGGGCAAGGCACTTCACCCACCATTCTTGTGTAGGAATGTGATGTGTGCGTGAATGATTGGAGTGACTGAAGTGCCTACTTGTGTAGATTAGCAGCCACTCTTCTATTAATCTACCCCAGGGCAGCTATGGCACAAGTATCTTACAACTAATACATTTTGAATGAATATTGCAAATTATTGTACAAATTGTTTCTATAAGTGTCAAGTGTTCTATAGCCTTTGTATAGGCACTCTGAATCTTGTCAGTATGATATTTTAGGAGGAAAAACACAACCTTGATATGTACACAGTGACTGAAGCTTATGTCGCCTAGCTAAAAAAAGTCCCCAAACTATTTTCACTGCTGTGACATTTCCACTTTGAAGTTTTAAAAGTAGAACATGTGCTAAAATTAGAAAGGTCTTTTATTATATTTGCAAACAGAGTGATTGAGGCGGACAGCTGAGTGGAGCGAGGAGGTTTTAAAGTGGCGGTTTTTAAATGTGACTCTGGATTGGTGCTGTCGTATACTTCCTCTGACCTTTTCTCCATCTCCTCCTCTCCATTTGTTATGGCCTGACGTTAATATATTCTAGTGCCAGTAGCTCTTTCTGTGTTCACCAATGTCCCTTTGCTTTCAACTGTGACAGACCACCCATACTATATCTTTCTTTCCATTCACTAACTTTTCTTCTTCTTCATCAATTTCACATTTGTGTTTTCCTACTTCCTGTCATTTTACCTTTTAAAAATAAAAAATTCTAGATATATAAAATCAAAAGTCCTAGATGTATTTGTTTGTATTAATACACTTACAGTTTTACACTTATTCTACCAATTAATTCAGTCTCTGGCTTCTGCAAAATAACTGCTAACAGTTTTGGTCACCTTGGTGAATGTAGAGCCCTCTGCATCTGTCAGCAGTACACTTAAAACTTTGCCAAGCAGTAATTTTTGCTTGATGCCCTTTTTGACACAATCATCCAAACAGACGACAAACAAGAGAAGTAGTAATGAAGAGAAGTAGTAATGATAGTGGAAGTGGAGGCAGGTATTGTTGGCTGTATTGTTATTTTAATGTCTTTCTTATTATGTGCACTTTGAATGACTTTGGGCATCAATTGTGAACTACAAATAAACATGCCCTATCAAGTAGTAGCAGCAGTAGGAAGAATAGTAAGAGTATTGTAGTACTGGTAGCAGTTATGGTAGTTCTTTGTTCAGATTCACAACATTGATAAGTTTCATACGGTGGCCGGCAAGTACAAAACACTTTTACATTTCACAATACACTTTAACAAGTTTGAAATCAAAATTACATTTAAATCTTGAAAACAAATTTACGTTTCGTAAAAGACATTTGCAAATGAGCAAACAAATTTACAAAACACGAAACATTTGTACAAGCATCGAGACAAATCTACTTGTGGCAAAAACATAAATACAAACCGTCGAAACACATAGACCTTTTTATCACAATGGGCAGAAGTGCGGCGCTGTAGGGTGAATGTCACTTCCAGTTATTGCTTTTCTATGGCAAAATATCTGTGGAAATGTCTGCCGTATTTCCACCAACTTCTTAAAGGCGAACAACGACGAGCTTTAAAGAACTACGTCATTCGTCATTTCCACTTTTTAGGACATTCTCTTTCCGTCAAGATCTTTCTTGTTCATTTGTTTCGAGGGTTTGTATTTTGTGTTTTTACCACATGTAAATTTGTCTCGGCGCTTGTACAAATGTTTCGTATTTTGTAAATTTGTTTGATCATTTGCAAATGTGTTTTATGAAATTTAGAATTTGTTTTCAAGATGTAAATGTGTGTTTTAAATGTAATTTTGTTTTCAAACTTGTTAATGTGTGTTGTGAAATGTAAAAGTGTTTTGCACTTGCCAGCCACCGTAGTTTCAATCTATATCTTTATTTTTTTTTCTTTTACCTATTATAGTTTTATTACATTAATTTTGCAGGTTGTTTTTGATTATACCTCTGATCTCTCTCTCCTCCAGCACTGGTTGACCGAACTGGAGATTTTCGCCATGATTTTCGCGGCGGCTGTGCACGATTACGAGCACACTGGGACCACTAACAACTTCCACATCCAGACAAGGTAATGGAGGGTCCGATCAAAAATGCATGGCACTGCCGCAGATCGATGTGTTCATTTGGAGCAGTGCGTTTCTCCATCGACAGACAGGCTACACAGTGAGCTAATGGTACAGTGTAAAAGTATGTGTGCTCAAATTAACTGCAGGCCATATCTCTGTAGTCAACATCACAGAGTTAAAAAGGCATTGATTCTTTAGAAACAACACTCCCAATGCTCCCTGACAACAGTGTTATCATCTAATGGAGACTGAAGTTATGATCAAGGCTGCAGTTAAACTACTGAACAGCACATGAGAAAGCAACACTGTGTAAAAGTGAAATAATATTTATAGTTAAAGACACACTACGCAACTTTTCTGGAGGAGAGTCTGCTATACCTGGTTGTCTCCATGGTTACTGATTTGTCTAGAATGCTCCAAAGTATTGCATTCATCTCTATTTTACATTTATTTTTAATTATAGGTATTTTTAGCGAAGAAAAAAAAATATTTAAAAACATGCATTTTGTGAGCAAGCTAGTCTCTCCTAATATGACCTGTACACTGGCGTGGTGATGCCCAATGTTTCCATAGTGACAGACGTGTTAAATGCCATACAATGGAACATGCAGACAAACATCTCCCTGGAGACATGCAGGTGGCAGTTCCTCCTCCAGAAACATATTGCATACACTTGTCCCCTAATATTGGATAGGACTTGCTATATTCTGCAATAATGTCAGATATTTCATACTTCATTCTGTGATGTTTTAACTGAAAACAAAATACATATAGTGCCTCACGTCATGACCTAAAGCCACCATTTTTCAAAGGAATCAAAACTAACTGTGCCTTTTCTCATAAAGTTTAGCTTGTAATGTTTATGGCCTCAGAACACAATAAAGTTTGCACTGTTGGTTATGGGAGTTGAAGTCAGTATTACCCCAAGCACTGAGTTTATAACTTGTAATCCATCAGTTGAATGTGTACATTAAGGATCATATCTTATTTATGTGGGAGAAATAATTAATCTTCACTGCTGCCCCACAGCAACAAATGCACATTTTTACTCTATGTCTGTCTAAGACAGATCACACCTCAGTTACAGCAATAAAAATATGGTGTATTCAGCCCAGATTCTGAGATTCCAGGAATAAATTTACCATCTTCCAGCTGACTTTTTGAAAAATTCAGATATAACTGTGGTATGTTTCTAGTCGAAAAAATCTGTGAAATATTTGATCAAGTTGGCAGTTGATAAAGTTTCAGAAGCATATCTGAAATAAAATCAGGTCTTGCAGTGTTTAGTCTCCACACAGCCCCCAGCAAGCTTTCAGAAAGAAATTTGTTTGATTTAATTATATTTTTTGTTTGTCTGTGGGGAAAATAAATAGGAAATTCAGTTTTGAAACCTTGAAGTGAGTGGTCTCTCTTGAGCTCCATAACTATAAGTTCTGAAATGATTAGACATTCTGGGGCAATAACTGACAATAAATACTCTTATTTATTATTAACTGATTGCACTCACTTTACCAATGTACTGCAACTGACTCCTAATCCAGTCATTTGTCCTTGATGCTTAAATACAGTCATATTTTTAAACTAAATGTGTGTTTTTCATTAGGTCAGACACAGCCATCTTGTACAATGACCGCTCAGTGTTGGAGAGCCATCACGTGAGTGCCGCCTATCGCCTCCTACAGGACGACGATGAGATGAACATCCTGTACAACCTCTCCAAGGACGACTGGAGGTCAGACACTGTATTGACACACAGGTCAACCATGACAAATGGGATATTTATATCAGAGGAGACCACTGTCATATAAAGGAGACATTCAAGACATTCCTAAAATCTTATAAACAACTGCTACTTTAGACTATTTATGCTTTTATCTTCCTCAATACTTTTATACTCTCTCTATAAACAAGTCTCGTGGTTTTTGACATGTTTTTACACTAGATGACCTTCCTGTCAGAGCCTGTATCTTTCTATGTTGATGTGCAATGTGAGTTAAGTCTCCAGGAAGGTTATATATGTGCTGGGGTAAGGTTTGAACAAGTTACCCTAAGGTTGGTTTGGTGAATAATTAATACACTGCACCACTGTTAACCCTGTCAGGATATAATGACATAGAGGTGTCAAATTAGACCACTGCTCTTCTGTAGAAGGTACAAGGTGTAGATTGTTAGTTCCACCAACTTTGAGCTTTAGGAGGATTTAACCCATAGCTACTTGCAAATCAGTCAATTGTAGGTACAGTTTATAATAGCCAAAACAAGCATTCCATCCTTAAAGGTGCACTGCGTAGCTTTTAGAGTGAAGGGTCCATCACCATGAAGATGTTGTTGTTTTGCTTGGAATTTTTCCCAGCATGATATTAAATGTACCTATGGAGAAAAGCACCAAGCCAATTCACAGGCCCAGTTTGTGGATGGGTGGACAGGTATAGTTTTATTGTTAATAACAAAACAATCAAAAAACACACACACCTATAATTAAAGGGACAGTCTGGAATTTTGGAAATAGGACCTCATTGGACATAGGACCAATTTTAGTAAAGTAAAGTAAAGTAAAGTAAAGTAAAGTAAAGTAAAGTAAAACTAACCTTGCATTTGAAGGATTTATGTCTGAGCAGCAGCGAGTTGTACTTCCTGATAAAAAGCTTGGCAGCGGTGGACTGATATCACCTAGCACCTATCTTACCGGCAAAGTAAAATTCAGTTGCTGCTGAGAAAATAGTCTTTCAACATGTGACGATTCATGTGTGAGTTAGTTTTATTTCAGACATTATTCTATAACACAGACATTTACATCGACTGTCTAGTGTAATAATAGTTTTGCTTCGGGTGCTTTGTGGAGTTGGTAAGAGTGTTTTTAGTGGCATTGACATGCACTAGCCCAGCACCAGTGGCCTCTGAACATACAAGGACTGGATGGAATATTTTAAAAAGTGTCTTCACACATCTCCAACACTCTGGCTCACTAGGAAATTAAGTCCTATGTCCAAATTCCAGATTGTCCCTTTAAACAACATCAAGTTTAATGCCATACTGTGGTGCATTTCAGGGAAACCAATTTGCCTAGCGTATCTCCATGGACAAAACCAGGTGATGGGCTCTTATCAGAAAAGTTACATAGTGCACCTTTAAGTTTCTGTGGATGAGTTTTTCCTTGTATGTTAGTTTAAAATTCAGGGAGAACTCGGAAGAGCATCTTTAAACAGTTGAGGAACAATATCTGATTTGTTTTTCTGAAATGTCAAATTAAATTGTGAAACAGTATATAAGTCATATCAATGTCACTGTACACACTGACAGGACAGATGGACAAATGGTGATCTGCCCTTTAGATAATGTTGAAAAGCCAATGAACATACATCTACCCATATCTACTCTGCCATTTTCAACTTGTGTGACATTATATAGGAATGGTAGCTTCATTTTTTCATGTGTTACTGGACAGTGTTACCCTTTATATGAATGATATACTGTACATTCTGTAGGTCATTGCACTAGCGACACTCAGACCATATCAAGTACCATGGGGTATTGCGGTGATATATGCCCAGATAAATGAATGAAAGTGTATATAAAGGGTTCTATATTATGGAAAATGTACACTTTAGAGCTTTAAACCATGTTATAATACTGTTACCTCATCAAAACAAACCTGGAGTTGCGTTCTGCGGTGAGGAAACAACATTATAACATAGATCAGACCCTTTAAAGCAGACAGAAGACAGCAGTGTCATAAGGTGCAATGGCTGAACTTTGGATGTGTCAAAGCTCATGTTATAAATATCACTCAAAATGCAGTTGTAGAAACGTAAACTGTAGGCATCGAATCGTCTGAGTGTGACAGCTGATATTATCCTGCACATGTTGCGAGTACGGAGGAAGTGGAAAAATTTAAGAAAAAAACTCTTTATTTATATAACACTTTACTTTACACAGTGGTTGTTAACTTAGGGATCTGAGCATGTTCAAATACAATTATAATTACAGGCCACATCTATCATTTGAACGCATGTTATTATGAGTAATCGTGATTCTAAGACGGTAAATTTACAGGAAAGTCTGAAGGTTTTTCTAGCAAGTTGCAGATTTTTTTCATTTGTACCAAAATGATTACACAGGCTGCCGAATCCAATGTGTATCACTGATTATGAAAATAAAACTGAAAAACAAACAAAAAAAAGAAGTACAGAGCAATGAGCATATGCCGGTGAAGGTAAAAATTATGGTTGATTGGCAATATGGTGTCTTGAAAATAAGTGATTGCTCAGACGTGCACAATCGCTCCAAATACAACTTCGAGAGGGTAAATGAGAAGGGGAAGCAACTATAACTCTCTATAGCTCTGAAATGTTGCTTTTGCATTATAGATCTGCAAAATGTACTCTTTAGTGTGCCAGTTATCAGCTATCATACTGTGTATCATGCCAAATCGAAGCAGTTGCCCTTAACCATTGTCTCTTTCTCTCTTCGTCTCTCTTTCTTCCCTATTTCACGCTCTCCCTCTTCTCTTTCCACAGAGAGCTGAGAGCCTTAGTGGTGGAGATGGTGCTGGCTACAGACATGTCCTGTCACTTCCAACAAGTCAAAGCCATGAAGAACTTCCTGCAGCAGCCCGAAGGGTACGTCCAATTTCTCTCCCTCCCCCCTCTCCTCCATCACCCCCTCACTCTTCTCACCTCTGCAATTTACATGTCCATTAACTCGCTAACAACACGGCCAGTTTACTTGGCACATGCTGTTTACAACCTAATTAACCGTGCCCTGAAGCGTATCGAAAAATGTAGAATCCGACGCAGTATTTCGAAAACAATAAACAAGTAATAATTGAGCAGTGATTTTCAAACATGTCAGAACAAGTACAGGTCCAGAAAATGACTGATTACACAGGACTGACAAGACTAACCAATAGGAGTATGTTTTATTCTTATATGTGTCCTATATGAGATTTAAGCCGTGTTAGAATGTTGTTACCTCATCAAAAACAGACCTGGAGTTGTGTTTTGTTTTATTCACACACACATTTAAGTATTCTTTTATCATTAGACTGTCTAAATCACAAGGTGGGGTGTTTTCTCCAGTGAGAGAAGAACTCAGCCTAAATATGCAGGGTTTGTATGTTAAACGTGTGAATGAAAGAAAAATCAACTCCAAGTATGTTTTTGATGAACAACATTATAACATACAATAGACCAGAAAATAGTGTAATATGGTTATTTTCTTGATTTTTCAGATTCAGAAAACTGTATTGATCCCATAGGGCAGTTCATTTGCAGCATTCTCAGAGCAGTTCTCTCTTCTCACATGCACACAAACACACACAGTGCATCAGTCCTTTACAGACCACAAGTGGAACTCAATGACAATATACATGGTACAGTGCAAAACATTCAGAAAACTGTACCCTTAGAATTAAGAAATGTAATTGCAGGGGGCACAAAATAATTTGAGAACCGGTTAGTCTTTCATACCGGAGCATAAAACCAACACCCTGAAGGCATCATGATAAAGTCAGGAGCCAGAGGATGGATTTTGGCTAGTTCATTTATCTATTTGTAAAATTAATACATTTATGCTAGTCAATTTCAAAAGAAGTAAATTATTTTTATTTTAATGTAGGACATCAATTGAAAACCAGAAATTTCTCTGAGTATTTTCTGTCATTGCAAAATGAAGTGAAATTATTAACTCCAAGAAATGATTACAGTAAGTTTAGTTTTACCATTGCAACACATACATTTAACCAAAAGCTTTCTGGTTGGAGTTACTTTTACTTTTGGGAGATAGAAACAACCCCCTAAGTTTCTGTGCTGCTACTACTACTCAAAGAAACTTTGGGTCACTCCTTCACCTCAGCTCCTGCAATTTTTATGTTCATTAACTTGTGCCTCACGCTGTTTACAATCCAATTAACCCAGCCCCGAAGCGTGTCGAGAGACGTATGAGACTGCCCTGCTTTATAAAGTGTGGATTGTGCAAAGGAAGGTGTCATTCACATTAAAAATATCATTGAAGCAGTCCCAATAGCAGCGGTGTTCATGTATTTTACAGAGAGGTGTTACTATGGAACTCAGAGGCATAAACAGTGAAAGGTTTATAGTCGGTGAAGACTTATGGTCTGCCAACACTAAATTTGGCAGCCAGTGATATATTTGCTTTAGCAGGCAAAAATCCTGCCAGAGCTCCACACACCACTGTACCAAGCAAAATGCCCACTTGTCTAACTGCGAGAAACAGATTTACAAGGTGATGCTTACATTTTTCAACCTCTATAATCTCTTTACCTTTGTTAGTCATTTCATTTATGCATTCAAATCATGTATTTAGTCAGTAGTTCTCAATAATTAAAATATACTTTAAAATATACATGGAAGTAGAGAATTTAAAAAAAATTAAACCTGAAAAATTTATGAAGGACTAAACAATGGGTCTATTTGGTTTCAGTGTCCTATTTTATGGAAAGTTTTGAGGATTTTTCGGCACCAAGTCTAAATCAGGTCTAAATCTGAGTGTAGTGTAGTGATGAGATATAGGCCAGAGAGAACCAATTTTCATCATGTTTACTGTCTTTAGTTAAATAAGTGTAATTTTAAGTAGCGGTAGTTGAAATACCACAGATTGCAGTATCTCTATCTGACATATTGTTCACTGTAATTTCTCATTTAATGTAACTTCCACTACATTATCTTATTTTCACTTGTATCCTTGGTGCACTGGCCTTTCCTATGGCCAGACCTTTTCTATACTGTGTTTCTAGGATGTAAACAAATGGAGTTAGTGGCACCATTAGTGGAGGCCCTGGAGGCGGAAAATGGTAAAATATACGTTCTATTATTGGACTGGCTGCTCCCTTCACAGCGGGACTCTCCAAATGCCCTGGTCAAACACAAGGACATTATAGCTAACCATGCATTCATTAAATCCATTTGGTTCATAAAAGAAAACATGATTTAGTTGATTTGAATAGTGGCTACAATAGTAATAGTTTACCAGCACTGAATGTGAAGTGATTGAACAAAGCACAAAACTATAGTATGACTTTGAGTGTACGGAAACGCGTTGTATAAGACTAATGCATTATTATTTAATATTGGCCCATATAAACTTCAAAGATGTTAGAACTTAGCTTTGATGGCTTTCTTGCACTCTGAAAACCTCTTCTGTTTTCTAACGCAAGTAAACTGATTCGTAACAGTTTTATAACATGGGCTTGAACTTTATAGTGTTCAGGATTTTATAAAAAGCTTTATTTTCATTTTAAGTTGTGCATATCAAAACTATATATTGCAAAGTCATGTACTCAAGCTCCATAAAAGTCCAATAATCTCTGCAAACAGGCATTCACATTTGCATCTGTGCTTTGTGGGGTGCGGCTCGTGGCGTGATGTGGTTCATATATTTTATCTGATCTTTTCCCTGCTGGCTCTTAGGAGGAGATCTGACAAAACCTAATAGAGCGTGACTGACTCTGACCAGTGGCAGCAGGAGTGGACAGAGGCTGATTGCATGGGGAGGTTTTCCACTGTGATAAGAGAGAGATCTGAACTAACAATAAAACTTTGTTCTGCTAAACTTTAATTTTGTTCAGAAACTTTTAATTCTTCCTTTGTCTTTCCACATTAAAGGTAGAAAAACTGGAACTTTGCAAATGTTCCACAGTATGGCATTAAACCTATCTACCTCTGTGGAGACAAGCAGGTGATGCCGTCAGGTCAAGTTACTCGTCAGATCAGTATCAGCAGTCCCACTCACAGTCTTTATTTCGTTCAAGGTGTTTTTGAGCTATAAAAGTATGAGTAGTGAAATAAATACTAGATAGATCCATGGGGACAAGCAAGTGGAGGGCCTTCAAGCAAAAAGGTTACACAGTGTACCGTTTTTTACTTTTTGTTATTAGATTATATTGTGATGAGTGAGCTTCTGTGTCCAAATAATTTCCCTTGTGGATCAGTAAAGTTTGTCTAAGTGTAAGTTTAAGTTTAAAAGACCTATTTTACTCTATTTTCTGATCCATGTTATAATGTTGTTTCCTCATCAAAAACATAGCTAGAGGTTTGTTATGTTTCATTCACGCATGCACCTTTAGGCTGAGTTCTTCTCTCACAAAACACTCATGTGGAAATGCAGGGAGTGCTCCGCTGTGTTTTTAAACTCCATACACCTCCGCTAGAATCATTTGGATCACTGCAGCCCTCTACATGCTGATCTCCACTGAACAAAAGCTAAAAGTAGTTGTTAAAACTACCACTTCATGACATAACAAGGTGGAAGAGAGCATTTTGAGCTTTAGTCATGTAGAGAGACTAATAATAATAAAGAATTACTCAAAAGTGTGCATGATATACAACACAACTATAGGTGTGTTTTGATGAATTGATTATAACTAGGGGTGTCAAATTATCGCGTTAATTGCGATTAATTAATTACAGTCATATTTAGCGCGTTATGTTTTTAATCGCGTTAATCTCATTTTTAATCTGTAACTTTACTGTTTCTGTATGTGAGTTTCTTTATTATAAAATCTGTTTTTATGTGTTGCTGGGACAACAACACACACACACAAAAACACATTTATACATTTTTTTATTTTGGTAATTCCACTCATTGCCGGAAACTCACACAAAACGCGCGCAGTAAGAGCGATGAAACGTCATGTTAACGTTGGCGGCGTCAGTCGCACAATGGACGAGGTGGAAGAGCCAGTAGAACAGAGGCAGCAGTGCACAGGTAAAAACACATTCGTGTCTTGGAAATTATATAAATTATATATTATATAAAAATAACAAATATAATATCGCCTACAACTTAAATGTCACTGGTGAAAACAACCTGCATAGACTCATGATGTCTGCACTACTGTCATATAGTGACCTGCCACATGAGGGAACACGCACACAAACACAAACACACACAAACACAAACACACGCAAACACAAACACACACCTTCATCATCGTCATCAACCTGAGAACGCGCGGACCACGTTTCTTTCCGTAGTTACTGCATGGACACCGACGTGCTCCCGTGAGCCGCGTGTGGATCGTGTTTTCTCGCGTGCGCTGCGTAAACCGCGCTTCCTCCTGTGAGCCTCTAAACCAGAACTAACACCAAGACTAAAACCAGAACTAAAACCAGAACTAAAACCAGGTCTAAACCAGGACTAAACCAGGGCTAAACCAGAACTAACACCAGGACTAAAACCAGGATTAATCCATTCCAGGACTAAACTAAGACTAAAGTAGGACTAAAGTAGGTCTAAACCAGGTCTAAACCAGGACTAAAACCAGTGATCTCATATATAAAGCATTTCTCTATCAATAATATTTTTAATATGGTTAAGGAAAGACTGGACTTTTTATTGTCTTTAAGTAGACAAAAGTTATTATGTTCAGATTTCCTCGTCTTTGCTACTTTACAACAAACAGTTTCTTATTCATGGAGACTTGGGCTCAACAGACAATTTGGAGAGATTTGTTAAACAATAAATGACTTTATAAAGTCACTTTTTTTGTTCTATATCAGTCTTTTGATCTGCCACAATAATGTAATAATGAATTTAAATGAAAATACCTCAAATTGAAGCTTTTCTCAGCAATTTTTAGATGAGATTAAAATGAGATTAA